AACAAATGTATATTTTAATGCAAAGCAGGATCACAAGTAGTGGTTCCTATAAGAGGACCCAAGGTTATAGCACTGGATGTTGTTGTTGAGAGCCAGTTTGGTGTCGTGGTTAAGTGCGTGGACTCTAATCCGGGAGAACCGGGGTTGATTCCCCACTCCTCCACTTGCACCTGCTGGGTGACCTTGGGCAAGCCACAGTTCTGGCACAGCTGTTCTTGAAAAATAACAGTTTCTGTCAGAGCTCTCTCAGCCCCCCACCTACCTCACAGGGTGTCTGTTGTGGGGAGGGGAAGGGAAAGGAGTTTGTGAGCCGCTCTGAGACTCCTTTGGGTAGTAAAGGGCGGGGTATATATCCAATCTCTCCTTCTCTTCTTAGCCATTCAGTCATGTCCAACTCTTGGCGATCCTATGGGTCGGCGCTCTCCATGTTCTCCAATCTTGTACTGTGTCTTTGAGTCATTCCATGCTCAGGCTGGTGTCGACTTTTATGGTGCCTAGTCACCATGTTCTTTGGCGGCCCGGTTGCCTTTTTCTGCTAACCAGTCTAAGCATAATTGCACTGGATCACCACTACCAGTCAAAACAGACAAGACTGGCGTGGATAGTCTAATGCAGCTTCATGTGATGTTATCTTACATTAAAACAGATCAGTGGTCCATCTGTTTTCTCCTCTGACTGACAACAGCTTTCCAGGGTCTTGGGCAAAGATCATCCCCAGTGCCTACCAATGTTCTCTCTAAGCTGTGGAGTCTTGTGAGCAAAAATTCTACTTTGTGAGCTACTGGCATTAAAGTTGTGAGCGAGCGATTTGGTTACTGCATAAATTAGTTTGCTTTGGAGCCATCCTTTCTGAGCTAAGACACAAATGTGTGAGCCAGAGGCTAAAAAACTGTGAGCTAGCTCACACTAACTCAGCTTAGAGGGAACATTTCTGCCTACTACCCATTTGGTACAGGTCCGGGTCCCGAACCTGGGACTTTCTGCATGCAAAAACGCATCCTCTACCACTGAGGTCTGGTGTGTCCCCCAAAGGCTTCCTTGACTGAGGACTGAACCGAGGGCATATTGGTTGAAAGCACTGAATGCTGACCACTGGTAGAGAAGTTAAGTCTGACTAAACTATGTGGCTGAAGAGGATGGTTAGTTGATTCGGTCCCATAAGTATATGTGGTGCACTACAAAATAATCCAAGCCAAAAAAAACAAAAAAACCCACAATGCCAGGCTCAAGGAACTCTTGGTCTGCATCAGTGAGTGGGGGGAGGGGCAGAGGACAGAAGGAAGGAGAGTTAAGAGTAGCAAATAAAGACTGAGGGGAACAGGAGCAGGAGAAGCAAGGGTACCAAAAGATGAAGGGTAGCAGGGGTCATTTCCTGCGGGAGCGCACAGGAACGGAGCTACGGCAGTAAAGAGCCCAGGGGGCGGGCACATGCAACAAGCCCCACCCCCTGCTCCCAGCAGCCCTCAGTCAGAGCAAGAAGCAGCCAGGTAAGTTGCAGAGCTTCCCTCGCCCCCCCCCCCTATCCAAAACAGTCCGGTGGCACCTTTAAGACCAAGTTTTATTCAGGTACAAGCTCTCCCTCCTCTGCGAGGGCAGATCTTCACGTTTCTCCACCCCCCCAATAGCTAGCAATCCAAAACGGTCCGGTGGAGCCTGAGCGGTGGGTGTTGCCTTCTGACACACTTCCGGTGATGTCAGGGGGTGTGGCCTATGCAAATGAGTTATGCTAATGAGCTCCTGCACCTCTTTTTCTACGAAATGACCCCTGAAAGGTAGTAATCACAGTTGCACATACTGAGATGCCGTCTACAAATATTTTGATGGAGGGAGGTGCTGTGGCTCAGTGGAAGAGCCTCTGCTTTCCATGCAGAAGGTCCCGTGTTCAATCCCCGGCATTTCCAGGTAAGAGGACCAGGTTGTCGATTGAACGGCCTAAGACTTTGGAGACCTGCTGCCAGTTCGTGCAGACCATAGCGACCTGGATGGACCAATGGTCCGATTCAGTATCAGAGAGCTTCATGTGTTAGGGGAGGGGCTGTGGCTCGGTGAAAGAGCCTCTGCTTTCCATGCAGAAGGTCCCGGGTTCAATCCCCGGCATTTCCAGGTAAGAGGATCAGGTTGTCGATTGAACGGCCTAAGATCTTGGAGAGCTGCTGCCAGTTCGTGTAGACCATAGTGACCTGGATGGACCAATGGTCCAATTCAGTATCAGAGAGCTTCGTGTGTTAGGGGAGGGGCTGTGGCTCAGTGGAAGAGCCTCTGCTTTCCTTGCAGAAGGTCCCGGGTTCAATCCCCGGCATTTCCAGGTAAGAGGATCAGATTGTCGATTGAACGGCCTAAGACCTTGGAGAGCTGCTGCCAGTTCGTGTAGACCATAGTGACCTGGATGGACCAATGGTCCGATTCAGTATCAGAGAGCTTCATGTGTTAGGGGAGGGGCTGTGGCTCGGTGGAAGAGCCTCTGCTTTCCATGCAGAAGGTCCCGGGTTCAATCCCCGGCATCTCCAGTTAAAAGGACCAGGTAGGAGGTGATATGAAAGATGTCATCCTGAGTCCCCTGGAGTGCCACTGCCAGTCCGAGCAGACAAGACTGATCTTGATGGTCTGTTTCTGTGTTCGTGTAGTGATCAGGATTTCTGTAAAGGCCTATTCTAAAATAATAGGTATGATGCAGGGCTTTTTTTGTAGAAAAAGCCCAGCAGGAACTCATTAGCATAATAGGCCACACCCATGAGAGCATAGCTCATTAGCATATCAGGCTGCACCCCCATGTTACCAGAAGTGTGGTTATCCAGCCACACCCATCTTTTGCTTGTTATTCTGTTTACCTTGTTTGTTGTCAAAACCCAGGGCCTTTTTTTCTAGCAGGAACTCCTTTGCATGTTAGGCCACACCCCTAATGTAGCCAATCCTAATGAGTTTCTGCTATTGGGTGTGGCCTATTATGCTAATGAGTTCCTGCTGGGCGTGGTCAACTTGGGAGCCAGCCGAAACTCCGTTCCTGTGCGTTCCTGCCCAAAAACAGCCCTGGTATGATGGTTGGCATTATATGCAAAAGAAGAGGGCAGGTGTCCCACGGAAGGGCTTCGAGCGATGGGGCCAGAGGATTCCACCAAGGATTCCACTGGGAGTTTGTAGTGGACATGAGAAGCATCAGTTGAGGCACCACCAGTGACCACTTTAGAGCCTCTGAGGACCACAGCGTGCCCCCCCTTTTGCCAGAATGAGAGTGTGTGCTGTCAAGCTGCAACCAACTCATAGTGACCCTAGGACCTTGGGGGGGGGGTTCAAGGCAAGAGATGAGCAGAGGTGGTTTGCCATTGCCTGCCTCTGCATAGCAACCCTGGTCTTCCTTGGTGGTCTCTTATCCAAGTACTGACTGTGGCCAACCCTGCTTAGCTTCCAAGCTCTGGCAAGCTCAGGCCAGACTGATTGAGAACTCGGTAGGACCATCCAGGGCCCAGATCCGGACTGCGGGTCACCTGTTGGTTGGTCGATCCAGAGGGAGTATCACTAAATGTGCCTTCAAGTGGGTTATCTGAGACTCCTATCGATGGTGAAAACCGGTTCGATGTGGGGATTTGAAAAGTTTCTAGTGGTTCAGAATCAACTGATGGAAAGGAGTCTCCAAACGGCAGAGGCTGCCAAAGCCTAAAGAATGGTAAAGTCTAGAAGTAGTTCCAAGGTTAGATCGTTCCCACTTTGAAGTTGTTTAAAACTTGTAATCTATGTTATATTATATAATAGATAAGATCGATAAGATAAAAATGAAAATATAAGTTTTTAAGTTAATATAGGGCTATTTTTGGGCAGGAAGGCACAGGAACGGAGTTCCGGCTGGCTCCCGAGTTGGCCACGCCCAGCAGGAACTCATTAGCATAATAGGCCACACCCAACAGCAGAAACTCATTAGGATTGGCTACATTAGGGGTGTGTGGCCTAACATGCAAAGAAGTTCCTGCTACAAAAAAAGGCCCTGGGTTTTGACAACAAACAAGGTAAACAGAATAAGAAGCAAAAGGTGGGTGTGGCTGGATGACCACACTTCTGGTAACATGGGGGTGCGGCCTAATGGGCTAATGGGCTGTGCTGTCAGGAGTGCGGCCCAATATGCTAATGAGTTTCTGCTGTTGGGTGTGGCCTGTTATGCTAATGAGTTCCTGCTGGGCTTTTTCTACAAAAAGAGCCCTGATAGGTCAAATATATTTTAAGCTATACTCTTATGCCATTATACCATATATATCTTGTTTAAACATTTGTTAAGCTATTATTATCATATACTTTGCCACAGATACATAAAATTTTTGAAGGAGGAAGGTCCTTAATTTCTGTAAAATTGCCCTCATAATAGGGTTTTTTTTGGTAATTATATTTTTGATCTGTTTTTCCCTAGTCCTTTTTTTTACTTACTTCTTTTTTCTGTATCCCTTATAATATAATTTTTAAATTAAAAAAAAAAAACCTGAAAAGACTGTGCTTCTTTTTGGTCATTGGCTATATAGCAAGCTAGTAACGCCATTGATTGGTCATAAGAACATAAGAGAAGCCAATGTTGGATCAGGCCAATGGCCCATCCAGTCCAACACTCTGTCACACAGTGGCCAGAAATACCAGGTGCCATCAGGAGGTCCAGTAGTGGGGCCAGGACACTAGAAGCCCTCCCAGTATTGACCCCCCCAGACACCAAGAATACAGGGCATTACCTGCCTCAGCCTGTGAGTTCCTATCTATACCTTGTGGCTAATAGCCACTGATGGACCTCCCTTGAAGCCGTCCATGCTTGTAGCCGCCACCAGCTCTCGTGGCAGTGAATTCCATGTGTTAATCACTCTTTTGGTGAAGAAGGACTTCCTTTTATCCATTGTAACCCGACTGCTCAGCAATTTCATGGAGTGTCCACCTGCTAGGCTGCTCTGGGCTCGGCAAGTTCTTCTGACGATGGCTCTCCTAACCCTTCCGAAAGGAAACCCGCCTCTCACTTCCACTCTTTCTCATGGCAGGCTCCCGCTGGAAAGCGATGACGAACCTCGAGAAGCAGCCGTACTACGAGGAGCAAGCCCGCCTCAGCAAGCAGCACCTGGAGAAGTACCCAGACTACAAGTACAAGCCCAGGCCGAAGCGCACTTGCTTAGTGGATGGGAAGAAGCTGCGGATCGGGGAGTACAAGGCAATCATGCGCAACAGGCGTCAGGAGATGAGGCAGTATTTCAATGTCGGGTACGGGCCCTTTGTGGCACTTCTCAGTCTTGTGAGGGCTGGGTGCATTGTTGATTTACTTGTACTTTTCTCCCAACTGGGGAGCCAAAGCGGCTTATCACTTTCTCCCTGTCTCCGTTTTATCCTAACAACAAACCGTGTGAGGTAGGCTAGTCTGAGACCTTTTCTACACGCTGGAGTGACTCATGATTTTCCTGGGAGTCATTTCACAAGCATTGGAATCGGTTTGGGCAGGGTTCTTCTGCTTACCTGCCCTCCTTGTTCATTTTTAGAGTCGTGGAGTCCGTTTATTTTCTTCCGCATGTGGCTTAATTAATGAGGACTTTCAAGGGAGGGTGCTCTCATCATCGGTGTTGTTATTGGTAGTATCACAGCACCCCCTCTTATTTTTTAAAAGAAGCCTCCAAAATATCGATATAACGCTATAGTGTCGTAATGATAGTTTAAGCAGGTTCTCTGAATTCTCAGCTTTCATTTTAAACAAAGTAAGTCTCTAGCTCCTTCCTTGGTGAAGATATATCTTCCTTATATATCTGTGAAGGAAGAAGCTCGAGATTTACTTTTTTTAAAAAAAATGACAAGTGGGGATTCAGAGAACCTGTTTAAACTATCATTACAATACTAGAGCACTATATCGCTATTTTAGGGCCTTTAAAAAAATTGAAACCACTGTCTTGGTGGGGGCAAGAGGGAGAGGTTCGATGATGGTGACAGTCGTATCACTGTAAAGCAGGACAAAGAAAACCGATATGACATTACGCGCTAGGAAAAACTCGACTCAGAATTGGTTTCCAGAAAATTGTCAGTGGTCTCAAAAGAGAGGGGGGGGGGAAGGAGGGGGAAAAGGAAGTGAAAATTAAAGGCACAGAAATGCATGCAGAAATGAGGGGATCAACTGAAGCACTGTGGGACCAGAACTGACGGGGGGAAACCCCATAGGGAAAAGCCCTGAGAGCGTGCCTCACTGGCCCAAGGTCCCCCAGTGGGCTTCTATGGGAGAGTGGGAAATCATTCCAGTGATGGCAGTGCCAACTTTGAAACCCCTATCCCTCTTCATCATCTGCTTCACCTCTGTCTCCGGGGTTATCCAGTGAAGTCTCTGAAAGAGGATCTCCGTGAAGTCCATAAAGAGACAGCAATCTTTCAGGTAGCCCTGAACATTTAGGGCTTTTCCCATTCAAAACAGCGCATAAAATCTAATAATGATTGGGTGTGCGTTGTGCCATCAGTTTGCTTCCAACTTAACAGTGACCCTATGGATTAACAATCTCCAGAGCATTCCCTCATTAGCAGCCTTGCTCAGGTCTTGCAAACTGAAGGACGCGGCTTGCTTTATTGAATCAGTCCACCTCCTGCAGGGTCTTCCTCTTTTCCTGCTACATTCTGCTTTTCCTAGCATTATTGTCTTTTCCAGTGAGTCTTGCCTTCTCACCAGTAATGATTAGTACGTGTACAGTGCTTCCATTTTCAAAGTGAGAGTTCTTCGAGCGTGTTATCCCTGTACAGTCTAAGGCCAGTCTATCCCCACGCTGCAAAGCCAGTGGGGTGCAGCGATGAGAGTATCGGACTAGGATTTGGGAGAGCTAGGTCTGAATCCCCATCCTGCTGTGGAAGCACACTGTGTGATCTTGAGCCACTCTCAGCCCGATCCACCTTGTAGGGTTGTTGTGAGGATAAAATGGAGTCAGGGAGAAAGTTATAAGTTGCTTTGGGTTCCCTTTGGGGAGAAAAAAAAGGTAAAGGTAAAGGTTCCCTTGCTCGAAAGCCAGTCGAATCCGACTCTAGGGTTGCGGTGCTCATCTCCGTTTCAAAGCCGAAGAGCCAGCGCTGTCCAAAGACGTTTCCGTGGTCATGTGGCCGGCATGACTAAACACCAAGGCTCACGGAATGCTGTTACCTTCCCACCAAAGTGGTGGTGAGCTATAAATGAAGTAGAATAAATGGCGAAAATGAACGACTAATCCGGACCTTTGCCGATCACAGCTCGTTCCTTTCCCAGACTTATGATACGCCAGCTCTGTAATTCAAACACGTGACCTTGCTCAGCGGAAGCCCTTCTCCAAGTCCTGTAGTTTGTGATGTGAGGGTTAAACGGAGGTTTAAATCTTCTCCCGGTGAAACTGAGGAGGCTTAAACCTGCTTTCCTTCAGCTGAGCCACGGTCAGTGTTTCTGGAACGAGAGACAGACTGTCGAGTCTGGTTAACGGGTGTCAGTGATGTCGAACAGAGATACATCCATCCAGCTACCGCTGATTGTCATCAGGCAGGCAGGGCTTTTCTTTTTTAAAGAAGAGAGAAAGAAAGGGAGGGGGGGAAGGCCCGCGACAGTGCATATTGTAATAATAAGCCGCTCAAGCCCAGAAATCTGAGCCGCTTAACCCTGCAGTGTTGGCAGGTCCAGCGATCCCACTGGTAAATGCTGAAACAAACACAGGGAAGTCCGCCAGCGTTTGGCATGGGAGATTAAAAGGAGAGGGGAGGGGAAGGACCTTTCCGAGGAAGAATAGGGCGGCCTCAAAGCCTCCCCAATTCCACTTATCTCGGCCAACACCGATGCTCCACAATGCGAGCAAAGGGAAAAAAATAATATTAACCTTGCCAGACTGGGAAATGTTATTCGGCTTTCTTAATCGGCAGGCTGGATTCTCTCTTAGGGAAGAAAAGGAGACGAGTGACGGTTTTGTCAAAGGGGTGCAGAACTGTGTCACATGTGCAATATCTTTACTATCAAGGGGACAGCTGACAGGGGCTGGGCTTGGGCTTACGGAACGAAGGACAAGATATTCGTCCAGAATGTGACCCTAAGCAGAGCGATACCCTTCTTTGTCCACTGAAATCAGAAAGCTTAAAAGGGTGTAGCTCTGTTTAGGATTGCACTAACACTGCAAGCCTATGCAGAATTAGAGGCACTCCTTCTTTATTTATGGGACAGTGTTATCCCATTCGTCATGCAAGTATAGCTCTGGGCAGCACGCATGGTGTCTCCCCCCTTTTTTAGCATTTGCAACCGCCCTATGAAGGAAGGCAACATGGTATAGCTCGATTTTTGTCAAATCTTGGGAGCTAATCAGGGTCAATGCTTGGAAAGGAGACCACCAAGGAAGGCTCTGCAGTGGCAGGCAATGGCAAATCACTTCTGGTTTTCATTTGCCTTGAAAGCCCCTTGCTGGGGTCACCATAAAGGCTTGGATGAGAGACCACCAAGGAAGGCTCTGTAGAGGCAGGCAATGGCCAACCACCTCTGCTTCTCACTTGCCTTGAAAGCCCCTTGCTGGAGTCCCCATAAAGGCTTGTATGAGAGACCACCAAGGAAGGCTCTGTAGAGGCAGGCAATGGCCAACCACGACTGCTTCTCACTTGCCTTGAAAGCCCCTTGCTGGGGTCCCCATAAGGCAGCTGTAACTTGATGGCCCTGTACACACAAGTACATGGGGTAGGGTAGGCTGAGACTGGTTTGCAGTGAGCTTTGTGCTGGAGACAGGATTTGAACCCAGTTCCATTCTAATGCTTGCCACTGCACCACACTGTCCCCGGGCTGATTTCTTTGGAAGACCTTGTGAATGGAGCTGATAAGAGGTTTGGTTGATGGGTAGAAAGGAGAGAAGGAAACAGGGAAATCTGAGGATAGGGGAGCTACCAGGAGGAGAGAAATAATGTAGAGAGGGGGATAGAGGGGAAAGTGAGGTGTTCTCCAGAAGTCCTTGCAGTTTCCCCACTGTGCAACTGGACCCAGCCTGGCCAGCACCATGTAGGCAGACACTGTACAACTGGGCTAGACTTTTCCCAGGGAAAGACTTCCAGGAGTGGGAATAGAGTTGCCATCCATTGGCTGGGAGACTGGGGGTGGGTGAGTGCTGTTGTGTCAACAGCATGATTTTACTGTAGAGTTTCCACTGAATCCTAGAGGACCGTGACATCACTTTTGGGTTCACCCTGGAAATTATGTCATCCCATTGACATAATGAAAAAAATTTCTGTATTTTCCCCCTGCTACCCTACCAAGCAGCAGCAGGGGTCGGGGGTTTCTGGTGCGAGGTCTCCCACCATACTGAGAGACCTGGCAACCATAGGAGGAAAAGAGAGAAAGCTTGAAGACGGGGCAGATCAAGGTAGGTTTGGTGGTGGTGGGAAGAGTGAAGGAAACAGGAAAAGGGGAGAGGCTGTGGGAGCGGCCAGGGAAGGAAAAGAGGAAATAGTGCAGGAGACAAATATGAGATGCCCCACACTAGTCTTTGTGGGCCCAGATAGATGATGATGATGATGATGATGATAATGATGAAGACAGACAGACAGATAGACAGAATAATGCAGTGCCATCCTGAGCAGAACTACAGTCTTCTAAGCCCGCTGACTTCAGCAGTAGACTTAGAAGCATGTATCTCTAAGTCTAAGTGCACAGGGACAACCCTGTAGGATAATAAACAAGTTAGACTCTCACTCTCCCCTCCCTATCTCCCTGTCCCTCATAATGCCTATATAGTTATGAAGGTACCAATGATGACTCAGGGCTAGTGCCACTGTACTGCTAAGGGGAGTCATTCCAAGCTCCAGGTAGTTAATACTCTGTATACATCCAAAGCTGGCAGTCTTCTGATAACATGAACTGGCCCCAGTTCACTGACCTTCACACACACTCATGCATTATAGGTCAAGACGAGTGGCCGAGTTAGTCTGTCTGTAGCAGTAGAAAAGAGCACGAGTCCCATAACACCTTAAAGACTAACAAAATTTGTGGCAGGGTAGGAGCTTTTGTGAGTCACTGCTGGAGAAATGAGCAGTGACTCACAAAAGCTCATCCCCTGCGCCAAGTTTTGTTCATCTTTAAGGCGCTACGGGGCTTGCGCTCTTTTCTACTGCTGCATAAAAGAACGTTCCCATCAAATGGCTGAGTGATGCTCTGCTTCTATATGAGGGAGAGCAGCGGGGGGTAACTTCTACCAATCCCCCCCTTCCCCAAGTGAGCCAATTTGTCTTTTTTACATAAGGCTCTTTTTGTAGCAGGAACTCCTTTGCATATTAGGTGACACACCCCTAATGTAGCCAATCCTCCAAGAGCTTACAGAGCTCTTCTTACAGGGGCTACTGTAAGCTCTTGGAGGATTGGCTACATTAGGGTATGTGTCGCCTAATATGCAAAGGAGTTCCCGCTACAAAAGGAGCCCTGAAAATTTTTCTCGCTCTTGACAACAGAAAGAGAGGCTTACAGTACAACCCTATGCAGAGTCAGTCAGGCCCAAACCTACTGACTTCAGGGTTGCACAATAAGAAATGTGGTGAGGATTGGAAAGCCAGTTGGAAATTTGCTTCCAGGCCTTTAAGGGTGGATTGTGAAGGACCAGGGCGAGGTTTCACTTGGAATTAAGCCTGCTCCTCTCCAGGGATTCTCCTCTCCTGTCTCCCGCGGTGAGGCTTTGCAGTCCAGATGGACACACCTCTGATTCCATTACAATGGGAAGCATGTTGTGCACAATATTATTGCAACTGAATTATCCCACTCCGCAAGACAACAAAAGGAGCATCAGCGCTAAACCTCTAGGCTTGCGGGGACCCTGGAGCTTCTCGGGGATATAAACACGGCCAGCGTTCCAAGATTTGGGGGAAGAATTAGACGGTCTAAAATAACTCGGCTCTTTCATGCATCCGCCTGGTGTCTCCAAGCCTTCCGTATCCAAAAAAGGCTCCCCCCCCCCCCCCCCGGGAAGCTTAGAGTGGAACATTTTCCCCATGTAAACTAGCAAGAGAAAGTTACAAAACGGGTGTTTCTGACATTATCCCCATCCAAAGTCCTCACAGAATTATGGACTTCCTTGTTTCCAGACTCCATTATGGAATCCTCCATAGTTCTTTTTTTCTTCTTTAAGAAGATGAGCCCTGCTTGGTCAGACCAATAGTCCATCCAGTCCAGCTTCCAGTCTCACACAGTGGCCAACCAGTTCCTATGGAGGGCCAACAACAGGGCATAGAGGCCAAGGCCTTCCCCTGATGTTAACTCCGAGTCCTGGCTCTAGGAGTCAGAAGCTTAGTGGCTCTGAAAGTAGAGGTTCCCCTCGGTCACTATGGCTAGTAGTGAATCTATCTAATCCCCTTTGAAAGCTGTTTATTCCCAAATTTGGTACAGAGCACTACATGTGTAGAGATCCCCACAGCTCTGGCTCACTTCCTTTCCATCTTTCCCCACTTTGTGTTACCAGCATGACATGTGTATTGATGAGACACTACAGAAGAGCAATCTTGATGCATGTGGTTGTATTAAGACTCCCTTTTGGGTGCGGCATTCTACCAGTGTGTCTGAGTGTATGTTTGCATCCATGATACACCTGAGGGGAAAAATGTAGATACCGTCATGTGCATAATTATTTTGGAATAGTTTAGCCATGCACAGATGTGTATCAGTAACATAAAGGAGAAAAAAGATCATCAATGAATCCAAGGAACCTTGTTCTGTCGGAAACTGCAAATCCCGGATAAAATTTAGAAAATCTATTCAGATTTGAATTGGTTGGAACTTAGCGCAGAGTGAAATTTTAGGACAATGAAGCAACTCCCATCACCACTCCTTATTCTGTAGGAAACTGCAAACCCAGGATAAAATTTAGAAAATCTATTTTAATTTGAATTAAAACGGAGTGGAACTTAGCGCAGAGTGAAATGTTGGGACAATGAAGCAACTCCCTTCATCACCGTCACCAAGAAGAGTTGATCCTGTATCCAAAAGACCAACAGAAACATTTATACAGGCCCTTCCCTATGTAAATTGACGGTGCAACCAGAAGTCCAGGGATGTAGCGGGTCAGGCCAGGGTAGAGTTGGGTAGAGTTGGCTCTGTCTCCCCCCTCCAAAGCAAGGAAGGTGGTGTTCAAAGCAACACCACCAATCTTGCAGGCTGCACATGCATGCAGCAATTGGCTGAAACTGGCCTCTC